CTGTTAGTGTTCCCCTGGCTCCACCACACTGAGTACCTTGGCACATTGAATGGTTAAATGGACCTCTTTTCTAGCACTAGATTTGACATGTCCCCAGGCCCCCCTTCCCCAGAGCTACCCTCCCCCTGCCTGTCAGGAGGCAAGGCCCAGAGCAGGTTCACACCCCCTCTGAGAGGCCCAGGCACACTGCTCCTGAGCTGGGCCGCCTCTCAGGCCCCAGGGCAGCGAAATGCCAATCTGCAATCTGAACAGACAGCAGAGAACAGTATCTCCGGGGCAGAGGCGACAGCTGCCCAAGGGCCCCATACCAGCTAGCAGGAGAGAGCAGCTGTTTGCGACATTCCAACAGGGCTAAGAGATCAGGCTGCCTCCGGACTATCCCCTCCCCATCTTCCCTGGGTCCCTGGGTCTCAGCAGGCCACACTGTGGGACTGTGCATGGCTTCTCCAGCAGGACCCTGGCCCCTGCAAAGGTTTCCTGTTATGTAAAGATGCAAATCATTCACTCTGTTGCCCACGCTAGACCATGGTGTCAGCCTAGCTCACAGCAACCTCCAACTCCTGGGCTCAAGCAATCCTCCTGCCTCAGCCTCCCGAGCTGGGACTACAGGCATGCGCCACGGTGCCCAGCTAATTTTTTTTTCTATATATATTAGTTGGCCAATTAATTTCTTTCTATTTATAGTAGAGATGGGGTCTTGTTCTTGCTCAGGTTGGTTTCAAACTCCTGACCTTGAGCAATCCGCCCGCCTCGGCCTCCCAGAGAGTTAGGATTATAGGCATGGGCCACCCGGCCCGGCCAGTATAGGATCTTTAAAGTCACATTTTCTTTTCCTTTTTTTTTGCCACAGGGTCTTGCTCTGTTGCCCAGGCTAGAGTGCAATGACACAATCACAGCTCACTACAGCCTCAGACTCGTGGGCTCAAGTGATCCTCTTGCCTCAGCCTCCCCAGTTGCTAGGACTACAGGGATGAGCCACTATGCACATCTAATTTTTTAAATTTTTCATAGAGATGGAGTATTACTATTTTGCCCAGGCTGGTCTCGAACTCCTGGCCTCAAGTGATCCTCCCAACTCAGCCTCCCAAAGTGCTGGGATTACCAGCGTGATACTCTGCCTGGCTGAAAGTCCTATTTTCTACAATGTCTGCTGGCATCGACTTCCACAAACCACCTGCCTTACCCACTCCCAAAACAACCTCTAAGAATCTCTAACTAGATCAGATCTCCAGGATCCACACAAACCCTGGGACCCAGGTATAAACACAGATCTTTATTTACTTCCAGGTGTCAAATAATCGACATCAATCACTGTTCAAGGATTAATCCATTTAATCCGCACACCTGGGAAGGATTACGCTTGCTTTACAGATGAGGAAACGGAAGCACAGACAGCTTCAGTAGTTTACCTGTGGTCACAGGAACAGAGCTGGGATTTGAACCCAAGGAGACAGGTGCCAGAGGTCACAGTCCTACCCGTTGTGCCAGACAACCCAAGGCTTTCTAAACTTCAGCCCTTAGTTTACCAAAATTGGTCAAAATAATTGTCTGGGAGCGGACTACAGACTAGCCCCAGATACACCCCACCTAGAGCAGGGGCCTGAGCCCGTCTGTCCACAGCGTTGTCTGCCTTCAGCAGACCTGGCGGGTCCCCAGGGTGGCCCTGTGCTCTGGCTCAGACATGCCCCTGCATCAGGCAGCTTTGCTCAGTGAGGAGCGCCTAGGGCAGGCATGGGAGGGGCCTCCCGGCCGCAGGAGCAGGGGGTGGTAGGAGCAGAGGGAGAAGGAAGCAGAGGCAGAAGGGAGCAGACGGGGAAGGGAAACTGGTATTCCTGGGAGCCAGAGGTGGCAACTTAATCTTCCCTGAAGCAACGGCCCGCACTCCAGCTGTTCATCTTGAAACGCCCTAGACTTCTCACCCCGACCCCCTCTGCCTGCCCTACTGTTCCCTGCCCACCAGCAGGGACACCTAGATGCTCAGGGCAGGGGCAGCCCATGGCCTCCTCTCCTGGGGCTCGGTCAGCTCTGACCACAGGGTGTAGAAGAGAGGGACTTGACTCCTTTTAACTGGGGACCATGCAGTGAAGAATATGCCAGAGAAAGCCACTCTGTGTACCTGTCTCTCCTCCCCATTCTCCTCCTGTTCTTCTCTCTCTGTTCTAGAACCTGAATACCGTGTTTCCCTGGAAATAAGATCTACCCATAAAATAAGCCCTAGCAGGATTTCTAAGCGTTTGCGCAATATAAGCCCGCCCCAAAAGTAAGACCTAGTGGTGGGCGTGGCTACGCAGCGCATCTGCACAACCCCTGCATTTCGCCATCAGGGAGCACGGTAAAGAAGACGAGCAGCCCCTCTCATCTGCCCCATGAGAGCTCTATGGCTCGACATCAGAGACTGGAGTCAATGGTTCTAAAGGAAATAGAGTCGCAAGAAATTCAGGATGGAATTCAGGGTTTGGAGAGTTATGATGATGATCCAGAAGAAGACAACTTAACTCTATTTGAATAAATGTAGACTGTTGTACCGTACTTAAAGAAAATAACGCATCCCCTGAAAATAAACCCTAGGGTGTCTTCTTGAGGAAAAATAAATATAAGACCCTGCCTTATTTTCGGGGAAAGAGGGTAGTTGCACCTGGTTGCAGCTAAGACCTTGATCTACAATTTCCAGCCACCCAGATTGTTTCCTCTCCTCCACCCTCTTCCAAGTGACTCCTCCCTCCTCATCCCTCCCCATGAAAACCCACTTCTGCACCCTCTGGGTTTCTGGAGAGCAGGAGGAGCAGGGCCCAGGTCAGACCCTGCTCAGGCTGATGGGTCACGTCCCCCGCAAGGGAAGGGATGCCAGGGTGGGCCCAGAGCCACATCTCCCAGGCGCTCAGATGCATCCCAAGCTACTTCAAGAGGTTTGAGTCCTTTGGACACACCTACTTCCAGAGAGCAAGTGAGAGGGACCAAGTGCTACTGCCTTAGGGTAGTTACTCAGTGAGCACCTACTGTGTGCCAGGCAAGTGCACAGTAGTATGCTAGGGCTTCACGATCCTCACCGCTGCCAGGCACTGTTCTAGGCACGTGGGCTACCTGGGCTAACAGGTTTCTCCGTGAGTACATGTTGCTTATTGCTTGTGCTTGACAAAAGGGGAAAACTGAGGCTTCCAGTGTGCTCCAAGTGCTGAAGCAGAGGCTCCTTTTCAAGAAGCCTGACTCCAAAACCAGTGTCACCTGCCCTGGCTCCTTGTCTCTCCCCTGGAGTAGAGGGTCTGTGGGTCTGATTCCGGGTGGGAGGCCCTGCCCTGGAATGCTCTGAGGGAGGAGGGATGGAGTCTACACACCTGAGATGGCCTAAGAGGTTTAGTCCTCAGTATAGGAGTAACCCATGGCCCAGGCTGAGTACCCCTGGAAGGGCCCAGGGGACAGAGAAGACAGTAAATTGAACTGGACGTCTCATGAGAGGATGCCTGGAAGTGGGGAGCATGCGGCCAGGCCTTTCAGGATAGGGGGACAGGAACTGACGCTGAAAGAGGAGGGAAACGTGGACGGGGACGGGCTGTTCGGAGGCGTGGGGGTGGGGAGGATGCGCGATTCTGAAGCGGACAGGTGTGATGGAAGGCTGGGAGGAGCTCCGGGAGCAGGCTGTGGGGAGGGAGGGCGGGCTGTGTCAGCTGCTGATGGCTGAGGTGAGGCTGGAGCTAATGAGCCATCAGGAGCCCCCAGCAGGGCAACACAAGATGCAAATGGCGCTTGGAGATGGTTCTGACGGCACACGGGGCTGGGGAACTATCGCAGGAGCCCCGGCAGGGCCTGGCTGGGGGCAGCTCCGCTCCACACACCAGACCTACTCCCACTCACCCACGAGTCTTCCAGAGAAAGTGCCCCTGAACCCCTCTCTCTTGCACGCCCCTGCCCAGCCTCTCTACCCCAATGCCCCAACTCTGTGATGCAGGGCTGGGGGGCAACGAGGTCACCCTGCATGAAGCGACTGACCAATGAGTGGTTTGGAAGAGGATGGGGTGGGCGACTGGAACAAGGGCCGGTCAGGGCTCCACACATGCTGTCAGTTATTTGGGGACGGGAGCATGGCATCTCTGGGGGAACCTCAAGGGGCTATGCCTGGACACAGCGCCCCTCACAGTCCCAGCAAGGCGGGGATCCCAGGCCAGCCACAGCGTGAGTGCACCAGGGAACCCCCCTTCAGCCCCCACCCTCTTACTGCCTGGGCCCCGGCTTCCCCCACCTAGGACAACCTGGGGGGACCTGGCTCTCAGGGAAGTCGCCCCCAACCCCTGTGACATGACTGAGGATCTGGTGGTGGTAGCCCACAAAAACACTCCTCCTTCCCTGCCGGGCTCTAAAATCTCACAATCAGTGTTCTGTTCCTTTGGCTTAAGATTCTGGACCCAAGTTATCCTTTTTTTTAATGGTGCCACTTTAAGTTGTTATCATCTATCCACACCTCAGTGTGACTGAGTCAGTCTGATCCTTTTCCAAGAGTTGATGTTGTTGGAGGGGCAGGAAGGCTGTAGGATCCCGGGTCCAGGACGGAGGATGGGCGGGGAGGAGAGGGCGAGGGTGCTGGGCGCAGAGGGCGAGAACAGGGAGGAGGCAGAGAAGGGGCTAGGCAAGCCTGCGGCGGATGGGGAGACCCTTCACTTCTCTGGAGAAGGCGGCCCGAGCGGAGACCCTGCTGTGGCCTTTCACCACGTCCCTCTCCGGGCTCAGGAGCCTGGGCCCCTCTGCTCCTGAGTCTTCCTGCCTCCCCGAAGCAACAGCCTGGAGTGCAAACTTTCTGGGATGTGCCCCCAGCCTGGCTTCCCATTCTGCCGCGGCCGCCCGCAGCTGGGCAGGGGCTCCTGGCGGACAGGCAGGGCGCGTCTGGGAGGCTAGGACACTCTGGGAAGGGGCCGCGCGGAGGCAGAGAGCGCCGAAGCGGCAGGGGCTGCGGACTGCGGGGCTGCGGGTCCAGGGGCGGGGCATGGGGACCCAGCCAGCGGGCGGCTCACCTGCAGGACACGGTGATCTCCACCTTGGTGGCCGGGATGCTGCCCGCCAAGGAGTCGAACTCGCTCAGCGACGCCATGTCCTCGGGCTGCTCCATCGCCCACCGCACCCCCACCCCAAATTAGTCAATCCCTGCGCGATTCACGCCTCCTCCGGAGCGACTGGAGCCCTGGGCTCTCCCCCAACTCCGGAGCCGGGGCTGGGCGGCCAGGGGCGGAGAGAGGAGCGCGAAGAGGGGGCGTGGGAAGTGAGAGAGGGAAGGGGCGGAGGAGCGGGGGCCGCGGACCGAGGAGGGGGCTCGGGTGACGCCGCGAGGAGGCTAGGGGCCGGGCGGGGAGGGGCGGGAGCCGGGGCGCCGGGGCGCAGCGGCAGAGGCGGAGAGCGCTGGGGAGAGGGCGCGGGAGGGACGCGCGGAGTCGCGGAGAGGGGAACAGAGAGAGGGGCGCGCGAGCAGCCGTGGGCCGGGGAGAGGGGTGCGGGAGACCGGGAGAGGGCGTGGGGGCCGGAGGGCCGGATGGGGTGCGGGCGGCGGGGGCGGCGGGGCGCGGGCAGCGCGGAGCCCGGAGCGCCTGGGCTGCGCCTCCTCTCGCTGGGTCTCGGCGCGGGCGGCAGCGGGGCTGGGACGCGCTGCAAGCGCCACCTCCTCGGCTCTAGCTCCGGCTGCGGGGCGCCCGGGCTGCGGGAAAATCAAATCTGCCCGGAGCCGCCGCCTCCCGCCACCCGGGGTGGGCTGCGCGGGGGCCGCGAGCGCCAGAGGGGGCGCCCGCAGGGGCCGGGGCGGGGCCGCGGGCGGGGTCTGCGCGGAGCGAGCGTGTGTGAGCGCGCGTGTGTGTGTGTGTGTGTGTGTGTGTGTGCGCGTGTGTGTGTGTGTGTGTGTGTGTGCGCGCGCGCGCGCGCGCGCGGCGGGCTTGGGGACGCGGCTCCAAATGCCGGGGACGTGGGGGGTGACAGCCAGCGAGGGACCCGGTCGCGCGCGCCGGCTCCCCTCCCCTCCCCTAGGGGTCTGCATACGCGGGGAGGGCGGGTTGTGCGAACCGAGGGTCTAGCGTGCAGGGCAGGGAGGGGCTAGGGTGGGAGGGACGTGTGCAAAAAAGCCCCCCCAGGGGTTGGGGTGGAGGGTCCCTGCTGAGCGTGCGCCCCACCCGGGGGCAGGTCTCGGAACAGAAACCGCCTCGACACTGTTTCGCAGTGAGGGCCTCCGGCCCAGGTAGGGTCGCGCGTGGGCGCTTCTCCCTTCCCGCCTCTGGTCCCGCGGCCCGGCCTCCCGCGTCGGCCTCCTAAACCAAGAGCCGGCGCCCTCCCCCGCCTGTCGTGACCACACGGCTGAGCCAGCCTCCAGGTCTAGAAGCTTCTGCCACCAGACTGGGAGGGTAGCCCAAGCTCCCTGGGCTTCTATGCAAGCAGCACAGAGTAGATGCCTGCTGTGTGCTGTGTGCAGGGCTCCAGGCCTTCTCAGGGGGCGAGGGGAGAGTTGAAGCATCTGCCAGGCAGCCCCCTTCGCACCCAAGCCCCTGGCGCCCGCCGCCCGGCCTCGCCCTCCCGGGTCAGTCCCCCCGAAGCTGCACACGCAGACTTTAGACTTGTCTTGGAAAGTCCACCCTCAGCCCCTCCTCAGCCTCAGCCTAAGCTTTGCTGAGATGGAGCCTCCACTTTTACCCCCACGCCCCACGCTTGGAAGCGGGATGTGCCTTGGCCAGGAGGCCAAGAACTTGGAGCCAGGCCGGAAGAGCCGCACCCTCTGGGCCATAAGGGGTTCATCCAGATTCTGTTTGAAGCCAATTCCCAGAACATCAGATAATAGCCAGAGTCAAAGACCAACACAAGAAAGAACACAGTACTTGACCTGGGACAATTTACCCATGGCTCAGGATGAGCCGCGTGGGATAGTCAGGCAGAGGCCGGAATTCCCCAGGCATGGGGCACAGCTGGGTCAGGAGGCCCCAGTGGCCCGTTTGGCCTGAAGCCCTCCCTCCACGGAGAGTAACTCAGTCTTCCTTTCCTAAGGGATGCAAAACTGGGCTTAGAATCTCCACGTTCCCCACCACCCACATACCTAGTGTAGACAATGCTTAAAACACACTTGTGGAATATGTTCTCCACTCACTCCCTGAGGACTGAACACCTGCTGTGTGGCTGGCACTTGGGAAAACGTGTTGATAACGATGATAACCACCATGTTATTTTCAAAGATCTAGACATCATGCGTAATTTTTTTTTTAAGAGAGCAACTCTCCCTATATTGCCCTATTCACAGGCAGGACCATAGCTCACTACAGCCTGGTATCCCTAGCCCCAGTGATCCTCCTGCACCCTCCCTGTAACTGGGACTACAGGTGCTGCCACTGCACCTGTCCACACTTATTTTTGAGATATTATTCACATACCATAAAATCACCTTTTTAAAAATTATTATTATTTTTGAGACAGAGTCTCACTTTGTTGCCCAGGCTAGAGTGAGTGCCGTGGCGTCAGCCTAGCTCACAGCAACCTCAAACTCCTGGGCTCAAGCGATCCTGCTGCCTCAGCCTCCCGAGTAGCTGGGACTACAGGCGTGCGCCACCATGCCCGGCTCATTTTTCTATATATATATTAGTTGGCCAATTAATTTCTTTCTATTTATAGGAGAGACGGGGTGTTGCTCTTGCTCAGGCTGGTTTCGAACTCCTGACGTGGAGCAATCTGCCCGCCTTGGCCTCTCAGAGTGCTAGGATTACAGGCATGAGCCACTGCACCCGGCCAAAATCACCATTTTAAAGTGTGCAATTAGTGGTTTGTCATGTATTCACAAGGGCCATGCATGATTTTAAATTCTCAAAATAATTATAGGAGTGGGTTATTATCTACATTTAATGTATAAGGAAGCTAGGGCCCAGGGAGGCTAAGTAACTTGTCCATGATTACCCAGCTGGGAACTGGCAGAATGAGGACTTGAAGCCAGGCAATTGAGAGCAAAGCCTGACCTTGAGCAAGAGGCTTGATTGCCTCTTAGGATGGGGCCAGATGACAGAAAGTCATGAGTGAAATGAGGCCTTGCTGGAGAGGATAATAGGGAGCCATTTCAGGTTGTTGAGCAGGTGAGTAGTGAGATTGAGGTTCTAACCGAGTAACCTTGCAAAGTGACAGCATTTGGAGTAGCAGCCCCCCGGTCTCTTTCTTGAAAGATGTCGGGACCTGTTTGTGTCATTCCATTCCCTCTTACTCATTGCATTTCCATCGCTGGATCTTTGACCAGAAAAAATCCCCCAAATTATTTTGGACACCCAAAATAACCCATGCCAGACACTACTGTAGCCTCGGAGAATAAAAAGGCGAAAGGACATAGTATCTACCCAGAGTTCCCAGGCCAGAGGGGGCCTGTGGCGTGGGGACTGCGAAGCCACAGTGCAGCGGCAGCAGTGCTGCTGAGGCAGGGACAGAGGGGCTGGGAGCAGAGACGCAACAGACTGCGCCACCCAGAGCGGGACCAAGGAGGGTCAGGGGGAACCGCAAAAAGGAGGTGACATTGGAGTTCACATCTTAGTTTGCTTCCCTCAAAGCATACACTGAGACAGAGATTTGAGTGTGCTTAGTTTATTCAGGAGGTGTCTTAGTCTGTTCCTGCTGCTATAACAAAATATTTCAGACTGGCGTTTTTGTTTTTGTTTTTGTTTTTGAGACAGAGTCTCTCTTTGTTGCCCAGGCTGGAGTGAGTGCCGTGGCATCAGCCTAGCTCACAGCAACCTCAAACTCCTGGGCTCAAGCAATCCTCCTGCCTCAGCCTCCCGAGTAGCTGGGACTACAGGCATGCGCCACCATGCCCGGCTAATTTTTTCTATATGTATTTTTAGTTGATTAATTAATTAAATTAATTAATTTCTTTCTATTTATAGTAGAGATGGGGTCTTGCTCTTGCTCAGGGTGGGTTCGAACTCCTGACCTGGAGCAATCCGCCCGCCTCGGCCTCCCAGAGTGCTAGGATTACAGGCGTGAGCCACCGCTCCTGGCCTGGCTTTTTTATAAAAGAAATTTATTCTCCCAGTTCTGGAGGGTGAGAAGTCCAAGAGCAAGGTGCCAGCAGGTAGGTGTCTCTGCTTATACGATGGCACCTCTTCACTGCATCTCCCAGAGGGGCCAACACCGTGTCCTCACGAGCAGAAGGTGGAAGGGCAAAAAGGGTCCCAGCTGGGTCCCCTGAGCCCTTCTACAAGGGCACCAGCCCGTTCGTGAGGGCGGAGCCTCCTAAAGGCCCCACCTCTTAATACCATTACTTTGGCAATCAGGTTTCGCCATATGAATTTTGGAGGGGCGAGTGTGCTCACACCACAGGAGGAGAAGGGGATGCTGTGGCAGTGAGGAGGAGACAGGGAAGGGAGGGCAGCCAGTGAAACCTGCTTTATCCGGCCATTATTGCTGTGGGCGACGGGGCTCACTCTCACCAAACAGCCCTGCGAGAGGAGACAGGAGACCACACCTCAAACTTAGCGGCCAGCGGGGTGAGGGAGCTGGGACGTGCTTCCACCGGCTCTGCCAGTCGTAGCTCGGTGGCTCAGGGCTGCTCCTGGAGGGCGCTGATTTCCTGGCACTTCTGGCCTGACCAGCGCAGAGTGGCATGCAGGTCCCGGGAGCCAGACGCGGCCTCAGGCGAAGAGATGCAGGTGCTGGCGGTTGGTGTGGGGACTGGAGCGTGCTCGCGCAGGTGAGGCAGCGCCCACTACAGGTGACGAACTCCCACCTGCAGGACAAGGCGCGCAGGCTCTCCTGGCAGGGGGCTAGTATGATTTAGGGCCAGAGATCCATGACGGGGGACCATCGTGCGGCTGGAGCACAGGGCGAGGGTTGGGGGAGGTAGGGTATGAGGCCAGGAGGTGAGGGGCCATGATGCAAGGCCATGGCCTCCTCTGGGCACAGAGGCTTTTTAGAAGGGGACACTGAAGGAGGGTGAGTGAAAGACACCCTCCAGCTGCATGGCCAACGAGCGAGCCCCAGAAGGTAACAGTTGCTGATCAGGCCCAGGGAAAAAGATGCTCCCGGTCCCCGCCCAAATGAGTTGCTAACGATTCAAAACAGCCCATGGACAGACGTTGCCATTGGAGGGGTCATTTCTCCCTTGAGAGCGATGATGGTGCTGAGTAACCGTGGTCACCTGCGATGTCCAGGCAAGCCAGTGGGTGAGCCAGCAGGTGCTGTGGACGCCAGCAGGTGCCTGGCTGCCAGATTGGACCCAACCATGGCCCTGGCCCACCAAGCATGTAACTGCTGCTCCTCTCTCTGATTAAGAACTGCAAGCACGGAGTGGGCCATGCCCAGAAGATCTGGAATAATCAGCGTCAGCATTTTGCCTTTGCCATCCAAGACTGCAAACATGCTCCCATCTGACCTAATCCACGGTGTTAATGACGGCAGAGCAATTTCAAGAGGCAACTCACAGCATCGATAAGGAGAGGAAAAGCACCGCAGGCTTGGGAGCCAGAGCTCCGCACAGAGAGGCAGCTGCTGCCCCTCCTCCCCTCCCTGGGCACTTCTTGCAAATGCTGCCCTCCGTCTGCCCTGTCTGAGGCTGGGGGTGAGGAGAGAAAGAGGCATGGAAGAACAGAAGCGGTGTGTGCACGGGACAGGGAGTGGATGCTGCCCGTACTGCACCTTACAGCGAACGAGGAAAAAGGCATTCTTTTTACTCTGGGTGAATGCAACCTTGAGCCAGGAGGACACATGGTGTGATGGGCAGAGTGTGGGCTGGATCTGAGCTCCCACTTACCCC